GGGTACCAGTATTATCTGTTAGAGGGAACATTCGTTAGTAGGGAGAGGGGGCGTGACTATTGGGAGGGGATTATGTGATGATGAAAGCCTGTCTATGGGGGCCCCGCAGTCTGAGAAGATTTCGAAGCTGATGTGACGACACGAGCTCATGGGGTTGATATGATTGTGACCTGTTCTTAGATAACACCTCTAGGAGCCACAAAGCTTCAACAATAAAGCACAAACTCACGCCCTGTACCACTGACACAGAGGAAGGGCGGATCCAAAATCTCATGAGCTCAGGATTTTCGCCGGTGTATTTCGGGGCTTCAGTGATGCTTGGGCCGCTTTCTGGCGCTCCGAAGGCATTGACCAAGAGGACTGCCGCATCAGGAAGGGGATGGACGTGGTTTCTTGTTTTGGGACTAATTAGTCATTTGTTTGACGCTTGCTTAATGAGCCAGCAGAACTTTGTCTTCAATGCTCACATTCAGTGTGCTAAGCGCAAATACTCAAACATTGATTAGGCGAATCATTTCTGGGTAGGCCGCTGGGATATTTAATATTTTCCCTACTGGCTTTAATAAGGGACCTAAATACTAATATTTTTCAAAGGGTTTTAGGGGCCAACCCAGATTTTCAATGATTCCAAATTGGAGCAAGGCTCAAGCTAAGGGTTGTTCTAGAAGTGGGTCGGGCCCAGGTCCCTTTATTCGGATGATATAGGCATGGGAAGATGGGCAGCTAAGCTTTCATAGAGATCTCTGAGCTTCCATAGGGATCTCTGAGGTTCCAAGTATTCAAAATGATGGGGTTAAGGCCCACATTCTGTTACCTGAATGGCTTTGCGGCCTTGATACCCTAATACTGGAGTGCTTGGACCCTTGGGGGTTGTAGTGGTTGAGGACGGCGTGGCCACGCAGCCGCTGTCGGCAAGCCAAGTGCGAGGCAGCCATCTGGACCAGATCCTGTGAGAGTTACTAACTGTGGCTAATGTTTCATTTAAAGAGTACTATTAAACGTAAAAATCAATAGTAGTAACCCACCGTTTTTATAGTTGCATTTTTTGTGTTTATTATGACTCGTCTTCTTCACATTATCATTATTAATGACCGCTACTACTATTTTTACTATCACTGTTACTACCATGGTTACTATTACGATCATTGTCAGTTTTACTTTTCGTTCCCGCATACAATTGCTATTATAATTACACTTACTGACTTGATGCATGTTTGCGCATGTGTTGCTTTCGGTTCTCGGGGTTTTGGTTTTGTTCAGCTGTGCTGTTGCGGAGGCAATTGGATCTTCGCGGCCTGCACGCTGAGCACCACGCTCGGCTTCATCGCCGTGCATCTTGGCTCAGTAGTTACGATCATTCATAATGTTGGACCTCCTTTAGCC